CAAACTTATATACAATTAATGGAGAATATAAACTATAAATTAATAAAGAAAATCTTCATTAAACTCTGGAATTTATAGCAAGCTATTAAGAAAACAACTTAAGATTCAAAGTAACATTATTAACTGATCATCAAATAGAACCTTCAAATGATAAAATGCAATTAAATCTAATTTTCATTATTATTATTGTTTTAATATGTCTTCTGTTGACCTTATATATTTTTTTGAATAAAAAGAAAAGAACTAACTAAAATTTATAAATTAATTCTGAACTAGACCTTAAATAAGAATAGGATGATGTATTTTATAAATAAAAAAATACACATTTAAAATGAATATATTATTAATAACATTAAATAAAATTATTTTTAAATCTATCTTAATGATACTGAATAAAAAAAGTAGGTCATTTATTCAAAAAATACTGAACAAATTTAATTTTTAGCTAATAATTTAACCAAATAATAGTTCAAAACAATTTAACTGTATATATTTATATATATTAATTTTCAATCATTGTATATGATTTCATAAAATTTCTTATTCTCACTTATATTCATTGCTTTCCAAATCCCTATTTTAATTCCTATTGGTTATAATCACCATTATAAGTTTGCCAACAATAATCTCCCATCTCAATCCATCCTCCAGTTTTAATTGAAAAATCTTTTCGTTACTAATAATATTATCCACCTGATATATTTATATTTTTTGAATGGTTCGTCTTCATTCTTTCTATACATAATTTCCCATTAACCTACCTTCACGCCATTTAGATTATATTGACCACTATAAGTGACTTAGGCATTATCGTTGAAGCCCTCCCATACCTCTATCCACATCCCTACCTTTACACAAATACCATCTTATTACTCTTCATATTATCCACCACCACTTTTTATATCTTTTGTATTATTTACATTTAATTATTTTTGTCATCTCCATACTTTTCCTAATGCCAAATATTCCATCTTCCCATTTTCATACCTTTAATATTATATTCGCCGACATAAGTGACTTAGGCATTATCATTGAATCCTTCCCATAATTCTATCCACATACACTTTTTTTTAATAATTAGTTTCTTCAGGATCTTTTAAATCAATGTTTACATTTGTTTAAACAATTTTTTTACCAGCAACCATCTTATCTATCTTTCTTCTGTTCAGATCTTTTAGTCTTTCTCTACAGTAATTTTTCCATCAATCATATGTGTTTAATCTCTTACTTTCGTATCAATTTCAACTTTACAGGAGGTGTTTTAAAAAATTCTTTATAAAACATTATTTCTTTATTAGCTTTGAGATTTAACATTCTTCTACCAAAATGAAATTCTTTTTTATAAAAATCTTCTTTTTTTTACAAATTAAATAATTATCCTAAAATATTAAAATAATTTATAAATTTACTTATTGTAATCCCTAATCTCATTAGATTAGATTTTGCTATTAACCATATATCTATAGATTTCTACAAACGAAATATAGTGCTTAATAAATTGAATTAGATCTATTTCTTAAATTATATGCATTTAGCCAAGAATCGGAAATAGCTGAAAAATAGTGGAAAATTTAAATTGATTAAAAAAATTTGACATAGAGTGCGTATCCAATTAAAGTATAACATAAAGAATCTCTTTCACATGGACAAGAACAGGAAAAATTAAATTAGTTAATCGGTAAGAAGTTTTGAAGAAATAACTTTCTCTTAAAAATAAACTCATAATATCCAGGTCTAATCAAACCTTTTCTCAAAATGAATGAAACTACTTAATTTACACTATTCTTAAAAAATGCTCATATTTTTGAGGAATTAATTCCTTGAAATTTGGATATTCTAAGTAATTTAATATATAAAAAAATGTAATAATTTATCGTTATTATACTTGGAGAATTAATTCTTTTTCGATATTTTTCAGCTATTTTAAACACAAAGAAGGAAGACTTTTAACAGTTTTAAGATTAGTATATCATAAATATAAATAAAGATCCCCTATATAATTAGTTTTTAAGCCATTTTTAATAATTATGCTAAACTAAAATAAATTTTCACCATATTTTCATTTGATCACTTAATTTAATATCTCTAATTTACATTTACCACTTAAATGTACACATGGATACAAATCTTTGGATGTATCAATAGTGAGAGTCTATTAATAAATAG